ATGAGACAAGGATCTCTGTCACAGAGAACATTGTTCGTGGCTTATCATTTCCCCACAGCAACCACATGGCACCATGCTCAACCCACAGTGGACACGTGGCAAATATTTATGAGTTTTCTTCTATAACTTAGCTTGTGCTAACAGTACACAGATATAAGCACTACCCTGTCTAGTGTCACAGGCAGGAGAACCTGTGCCTCACAGTCTCTGGTGGGGACCAGCAAAGAGACAGGTCAAGGAGCTCTTGTTACTTGTGGCTGTCTGTGCTTCCGAATTCTGCTACATCCTGATTGTTCACTGGACCGTCTCTTCTCAGCTGTGGGAACAGAAGTCCAAGTTCCCTAGCACTTAGGTTCTCCACAGCACCCTTTGCTAGCCTTGTCCTTCGCTTCACCCTGCCTGCCCGATCTTCTGTATCCACACACACACAAAGCAGCAGAGAACACCTCCCTCCAGGATTCTGCTGGAAGAATTTGTTCCACCCCGTATTCCTCACTGGTCCCAACCTGAAAGCTGTTGAAACGCTTGTTCCTTGCAGTGGCACCTTCTGATCTTATCCCAGGGAATGTGAGAGGCAGTCAGTTCCTCCAACACCCTTGGCTTTGCCTACCGTGATCCTTTCCTACGGCTTCCCCAAGGATGGCTTCAGTGATTTATTGCTGCAATTAATTTTTGAAGGTTTTGATGGACTTGAAGATGCTTCTCCAGCAGGCCCTGCCAAATGGGCATTACTAGCCACTGGGATTATAAATCCCTTCTCTGGCCCATTGTATCACAGAAGTCTTAGACAGGGAAAAAATTGTGATTGAGGCCAGGTTTTATCTCATTTTCTTCCAAGTTCATTTCTGTAATTATAGAGCATGGCACGGATGCTCTGGTTCCGGGAGTGTTTGCCTGTGAACACTTCAGGGTAGCTAGTATCTATCACCCGTGCTCAGCACAAGTTGGATGGAAGGTAAAAACAAAATCTTGTTTTATTTAAGCATGAAACCCCAAGGAACTAGATTTTGCTTTCACGCTTAAGTCACCGAGGTTGTCCAGTGAGTGACAGGCTCACACTCAATCTGAGTGTCTTCTCAGGTCCCATCTGCAGCCACTCTGTTCTCTGTCTTCTAATAACAAAGTCTTGGCTCCTGTGAGTCTTGTTTTGTTCTCTTTTAAAAATCACAGAGAAGAACAGAAGAAGGACAAGCCATTTGTGTCACATTGCTCAGTTCCTTGACAGTAACAGCAAAACTCAATCACAAAACTTGGGAAACACCAAACAGTCTGAAGAAGAGAGTTCAAACATATATGGAAATCATTAGCATCTATATATGTTACTGATGGAAAGATATGTAACACACACTTTTAAAGTTAACAGTGAGGGATAAGATAGCCTTTTATCCCAATTTCATAGAACCAGTTTGCTTTTCTGTTCATTTGATTGATTGTTTTAAGGGTCTTGCTATGTAGCCCGGCTACCCAAGGCTAGCCTCCAACCTAAGGTCATTCTGCCTCCACCTCCTCAGTACTGGGTTTGCAGGTCCTGGCCAACATACTCAGCTCTGATTGGCTTTTGCCAACCTCTTTCATTGGCAGCTAAGTCACAGCTTGCAGGGCATGGCAAAGTGGAACATTTCTTGGCTAGCTAAGCTGAAAAACCATCTTTCAAATTCAGTCCTAGACATATATTTCCTTAGCCACACTCTTTAGAGCGCAATGGCTTTGAGCATTATACAACTATAAGTAGAGTATGCTCTCTTAACACCTTCTCTAAAACTTAAGTCCAGACAAATGGCAAAACAATAAGTCCACTGATTCTGTAACATTTGCCATGGTGGAAACACTCCCAGCATGCCAGGCTTCAAGTACCAGAGTGTTCCTGAGCATGGAGTTCAAAGAGATGTCATTTAATTGCATGGGAAATAACTCTGATGGATTATATGATAGCACACTCACAGAAAGGGATATGTTGGTGTTCATTATCCTTGTTTCTATATGACTTAAGTGTACAATTCTATGATCTATTTTTTAACAATGGCTGTGTTTAACCATCAGCTTACAAAATCTTTACCCGTTTAACAGCCAGGTCTCACAGTGTGGTACAAGCTGCTCTTCACATTTATACTTCTCAAACAGACTCTAAAACTTCCCCTTCTCCCAGAAGCTTAGCTTCAACCTCATGTAACACTGTGCCATTAGATTCTTCAGGGTCTGGCTCTGAAATAGTCAAGTCTGGGGTCTATTGACTTCCACAGCTGTGCTCTGCACTCTTCCCTAATCACCTCCCCAGAAACAAAACCCCTGGCTCCTGATTCGAGTGCTAAACACTGGAAAGATAAGGACCAGTCCCTGGGCAGATGATGCTGATTACAGCACTGACCAACAGAGGACAGACACGTTCGCCACCTCCTCACACTTGGAGGGGAAACTCCTCCAGGTAGGCCCTGTGGGTCCTCTGGTCTGATTGACAGGAAACTCTTCCAGGAACTAAAGAACATCTGTGGAGTTTGTCAGGAGAGTAACCAAGTAATGCCAATAGTTATGCCCCAAAGTTTAAAAAATATGTTTTTAACAATCAAACATAATAAAAATAATATGTAATAAGACAAAATAGAAATGATCTCATTGAAGTTGGACAAGGTAAACCAGCAGAAGGAAAAGAGCTCCAAGAGGAGACAAGAATCAGAGACCCACTCGTTTACACAGGAGTTCTTTAAAAATACCAAACTGAAAGCTATAATACGTACTCAGAGGACTTGGTGCAGGCCCGTGTCAGCTCTGTGCTTGCCGTTTCAGTCTCTGTGAGTTCCTATGAGCTCTGCTCAGCTGATTTAGAAGGTCTTGTTCTCCTTGTGTGCTCCATCCCATCTGATACTTACACTCATAGATCAGTGCCTTATTCCGCCAGCATGAAAGAGGCCTCCTCCGGCAGCAGACACAGAGACCCACAGCTAGATATTACACATAGAGAGACCTTGGAACACACAGCTCTAAGTGGGTTGTCTCCATCAAATCCTTCCTGGGGGAAAAAAAAAAAAAAGAATCTTCAGGGAACTCCACAGAAGAGAAGGCAGAAAGAGTGTAATAAATGATAACTTTTAAGAACAGGAAACATACTTTGACATGCCCTAATTAATTTATCCCAGGTGTAAATTCCAGGGAAGTATAAAACATATCCCTGTGTTTGTGAGAGAGGATGCTCCCCCATTCCTCAGCCTAGAAGTGTGTTTTATTACTACTGCCTGAGCCTGTAGTGAATAACAGAACCAGGAGTCAAGGCCAGGCTGGAGGTGTGGCTGGGTGAGCACAATTCTGGCTTAGCGTGTTCCACAGTCCTAAGTTTGATTTGTACCCTGCTAAAAACAAATTTTAAAGGTCAGTCTGAAAAAGTTCCACTCCAAACTTTGTCTTTTTATTATTATTGCAAATACCTGACATGTCGGTGCTTTATTAAACCAGGCTTGCCGAGGGGAAGTAAAGAAACTTGATGAATTGTAGCTGATTAGCCACAAAAGCTGACAGCTGTGTGATGAGTTACTTACCTGTGTGATCCAGTCTGCTTACTCTTCAGATCACCTAGACCACTTACCTTGTAGAATGTTGATGTCTAAACCAGTACTGTGGGGTGGCCCCTGGCATGGGTGGTTGCCAGCATACATGTTTTCTGTGGCTGACAGGATGTGGGGTGCCCAGGCCATTGGCTTTTTTTCCCCACACAGGGCAAAGAAATTTCATTGTCTTGAGCTGCACAGGAAATCCCTGTCCAACCTGCAGCTCATGGCTTGCGATGGCAAACGTCACAGTTACATTGTACGACACTGTAACACAATAAGCTATCCCATGCCACAAGCTGCCCAAGGCTCTGGGTTGGAAACCTGTGGTTTGTTGCTGTTGTTGCTAGAATTATTACAGAAATGTTAAGAGAGGGAGGAGAATACTAGACATTGCTAGAGAAAGCCCAACATTTTAATAGAGACACAGACTACACACAAGGCATCAGGAAGACCCGCCATGCTTACCAGAAAGGACCCTCACCAGCTTTCTAGAATGAGTAACGGTGCTGCAAGCATTAAGTTCCCCAACTAAAATGGTGTTACAAGGTGTAGAGCCTGCTGTTGGCAAGAACCCGAGTTGACACAGCCACCTGGGAAAACAGGATAGCATTTCCCCTAGAACTTAAAATTAGAACCAGCTTGTGACCCAAGAATCCTATTTGTAGAATCCACCAAAGGCATTGAGATTAGGACCTTGAAGCGCTGACTCCACTCCATGTCCCTGCAACGTTACCCGCCAAGCAAACCATGGAAGCAATCTATCTGTACACAACAGCCTGGGTAAAGAGATGGCATACGTATAAACAATGGAGATTTATTCAGTACCGAAAGGAAGGACAGCCTGCCGTTTGTAACCACATGGATGGGCCTGGAGGACATTACGCTGGGTGCAACAAGACACATGCCGATGTGATGCTATCACTTAGTTGAACGGCAAATAACCTAATCCATGGCTGCAGGAAGTACAAGGTAGTTTCCAGGAGCAAGGATGAGGGCTGGTGAGAAGGTGAAGTTTGGGGAAGGGATCAAGGGAGAGGAAGCAGGGATATTTGTCCTGGGGAACAAAGGACTGCCTCTGTATAGAGAGGAGACAGACTTGGCACATAGGAAAATGGGGGGTTCTACAGGTAAAAGGGGAAGCCCATGTCAGGATGGGGTGTTTAATTTTAATCTGGCATGTTAATTAGGCAAAAAGGGGACTTTTGATTGCTGGACTGAATACTTGAATAGCTAGATCTTGGTAGTCAGCCTCAAGAGGAAATGGCCAAAGAAGGGAATAGACCTTGGGGGCTAGCTTTAGGAATGCAATCTACCTTAGTATTTAGCAAGACAGAGAGAATGTGGAGTATGGCAAGGCCTGCCAGAGCCACGCTGTCCACCCTCGAGCTGTCCAGAGTCTCTTCAAGAGTATTTGATGACATTTTCCACAGGCTTCACTGATTTTTCTCTCTTATATTTTAGGATTCAAATACACAGAGGTGAACAAGGTAAGTGAAAAAAATATTAAAATGCACTTGTTACTCTTCAAAGGCACAGACGTGAAGATACTGTGAAATGCAACTTAAATGTCACTTGAAAACTATGTCCTAGGATTTCAGTCATCATTTTTCATTTCCATTTGTAAGTCAAAACATTTTCGGGCTGGAGATTTAGCTCAGTAGGACAGTGCTTGCACTGGGTTCAGTCTGCAGCTCTGAGAAAGAGAGAGAGCAGCAGGGGGGAATCATAACCACTGGACCAACGAATTTAACCCCTGGTTCTTTTTCCTTTTGCAGATTCCTTTGCCACCTCCTCGGTAAGACATTTAAAATCGTATTTGTGGGACCGGAGTGATGGTTCACAGGTTAAGAGCACAGCTGCTCTTGCAGAGGAACCAGGTTCAACCCCAGCACCCACATGGTGGCTCACAACCACCTGTATGTTCAGTTCCAGGGGATCTGAGGCCTCCACAGGTACTGCATACATGTGACTGTGCGCAGATGACACACAGCCAAAGCACTCTTACACATAAAAAAATTTTTTTATTTAATCATTCTGTTTTGCCATAAACTTAAATGACTGTGAGTGCTTTAACGTTACTGTGACGTTATCCTCCCAATCCATTTCTTCAGTAGCGTCTCTTGCTGTCCTTTTCACCTCAGAATCTCTCCCTCCATACCAACATGGCATGCTCCTTTCCTCAGCAAAAATCAGACAAAGTGTGCTGTTAGGACATCTAGCTACCCAGACTTATGAGACTAAGACAGACTCAACGTAGAAACCACCAAGTCAATAATCAATCAGAAACTTGAATTTTCATAAATAAATTGACTTGTAATTCAAGTTAAAGACTTACAATCTATAAATTCTATAAGTTCATGTAAGTCCCATTTTTATATTTTACATATATAAATGCTAATTACTGTTATTTTATACACACACAGAGGTGAGAGGGGCAAACTGGGCCACTGAGGCTCTGAATGGATTGGTGAATGTCTTCGCTCCACTTAGGCCAATGTGTCCCTCAACCAAGCATGTCAATGACTTCACTCTCTACTCTTCCCTTGCCTGGGGGAGGGCACATCCTGACCCAAGGACTATGTGCATTCTATTCCTTTCATGTGGCTAGCATCCACCAAACTACATGATGCACTTTGTGAACGAGTACATGAAAATGGAAGACTGAGGCTTTTATTGATTTCCAAACATTGAGGAGTCTTTGAAACTAGGGTCATCCAATGTGGAATAAGCAGGGAGGTCATTATTCTCTTTTCCCCAGGCCTCCTGAAGCCCAAATAGGTGGCACATTGCAAAACACATGACACTTGTTGGAATTTGTCATACTAGAAAACGGAGCACCAGAGCACACTACTCTGGAAGAGTGAGGATGCTAAGATCTGAAGATGTCCAGAATGGTCCAGGCTGCAGAAAGATCTTCCACACTTGAGCTTCAAACCCACAGCAGGGAAGGGGAGGGGAGGGGATCAGAGTGAACTGACTGTCTGAGAAAGACATGGCTGCAGAGCTGCTCAGTCCTTACCCATGTGACTCTTCCCACAGGCCTGCCATCACTCTCCCCAAGAAGTATCAACCCTTACCTCCAGCACCACCAGAGGAGAGTGGTGTACACTTCCCTGAAAGACATGCCTTTTCAGAAGTCCAGAGGGGGCCCAGGTGAGACACTTGTCACTGCTGTGGGAAAATGACCAGGAGGGGTGGTGGCTAGTCAGGAAGAGATGAGAAATAGAAAACAAATCCCATATGTGAATGCCCCACACTGTGTGGAAGAGGGAAGATAGACTTGGGATCCTGTGTTTGACTCTTCAAAGCTCTGTGCAATAAAATAAGCCATTGACAGAACTGCTCTCTTAAGACCTGAACTGGTCATCACAGAAAATACGAAATGCCACGAGGCAATCAGGACTCAGTAAAAAAAAAAAAAAAAAAAAAAAAAAAAAAAAATTAGAACCCAGAACCAATCCAGGACATCCCCTTCAGCAGTTCCCAGACACCTACCCTGGAATATAAGCAAGCTTAAACACCCTTCTGCCAAAAACATCACTGCCTTGCTAACAAAAACAGATTTGCCAGCACTCTACCAGCAAGAGAAGGCTATCAACTGACACTAATGTGTCAGGAATGTTTCTTCAAGAAAGCAGATTTCCAAAAGTCCCTTATTTTGAAAAGGAGAATGGAGTGTGCCTCTCCTTGCACTGGCTCCAGATGAATGAGGATTTCTCAGGGAAGGCTTGAGTCAGCAGGCTGCTGGAGCAGGGGACATGACTAGGGAGAATGGTACCTTGGGAATGCTGAAATTCAAGCCATTTTGAGCATCTGTGAAAAAGCCTTCTCTTGTATGATCACCAGATGATCAGAATTCTCTGATTATCCCTTATCTGGGACTGTCCCCTCATCTTTTTTTTTTCTCCTTATAGACCCATACAAACTCCTCAGAGAAGTACCCTCTCTCTTCTGGGCAGTCCTCTCTGTCCTTGTGTCCCTTAGCCTAGAACCTGAGAAAGAACACAGATCTCAATTATAACTCCAAAAATCCATGGTAGAGATCTGCTTCTCTGGCGCTGTTTTGTACAAGCTTAGGGAGGCAGAATCTGGCTAGGGGAAGTAGCACGCTGGAGGACAGGCACTGAAGGCTGTAGGTTTAGGGCAGCTGTGCTCAACTGTGGGTGACTTCATCCTTGCTCTGGATGGAGACAGTCAGTGATTCCCAGAGAATCTTGGAGTTGAGGCCACTTGGAGTAGAGGCAAGGAGGCTGCATGGCTTCCGACAGTGGGTAGAAGAACCCATCACAAAGGGCAATGGGATGTGTCTTAGGAGTCCAGCAAAGTGCTGTGTGTCTTAAAACTAAAATCTATTCCATGCTGTGGCTGGAAGCCCTTTTCTGCCGTTGGTATACCAAGATTCTAGCCAGGCTCATCCACTCAGATAGATAGATAGATAGATAGATAGATAGATAGATAGATAGATAGATAGATATAAAAAGCTTAACCCATTTCAGTGCCCACATTTCCTGGCACAGTGCCGGCATGGACAATGGCCAATGTGGCTAAGGAAGTAGTTTAGAAGTTTACAGCAGCTTCCAAAAACATCCATTGTATTAATCACTTTTCTGTTGCTGTGAAAAAAAACACCATGACCAAAGGAGGCTTCCTTTTCAACTGATTCTTATATTTTTTGATATTATAATATATCATTCATCACTTTCCCTTTCCTTTTTCTCCCTCCCAACCCTCTCATGTACCACTCCTGTTCTCTTTTAAATGCATGGCTCACTTTTTTTCACTGTTGTTGCATTCATATATGTATATAAAATATACTTTGCTCAGTCTGTATAAAGCTACTTGTATGTATGTTCTCTAGACCGATTATTTGGTTTTTGGATAACCGATTGGTGTGATCTTCCCTGAGGAAAACTATTTCTCCCACTCTCAGAATGTCTTAGCTTCCTGTACTTCTTTGGGTAGGGCGGAAGCCGTGTGGTCTTTCTCCCATTCACTTTGTTATGTCTATTATTGTCCTCATTCAGATTGTGCTTAGGAAGTCATGTTAGTGGGATTTAATGGGTATAACTTCTGACATTACTGGAAGACACAATCTCACAGCAAACTCCCTGATCCTCTGGCTCTTACAATCTTTCCATCCCTTCTTCTGCAAAAAGTTCCCTAAGCCTTAAGTGAGGGATTGTTTTGTAGATGTATTCACTGGGGCTGGGCTCCACAACTCTGCGTTGGTTGTGGCTTTCTATAATTTCCTGTCTGTTGCAATGAGACGTTTTCTTGATAAAAGGTGAGGGCAATAGGCATAAGGACACATACTTAGAATGCAGTTAGAGTTATACTAATTTAGTGAAGTGGCGGTTGTAGGTTTTCTTCAAGATCCCCTACTTCTCTACTTCACTACTGGGTAGTCAGCTAGGGTTCTAGTGACAGGCATGATTTTCTCCTTATTTAGTGGCTCTTAAGTCCCATTATAGAACTGTTGGCTACCACCAATGTGTATGTGTCATTACTGCACTCTTAGGGTTATTGTGCCATGATGGTCATTGATGTGCTTCATAGGCATCATAGCTGGGAAGGACTGATGGTTGCTTCTGCCTTTGGGAAGCTTTCATGGTGCCTTCTGATACCATGAAAGCTAGCCCTCAGGGAGGAAGCACTCAGATCAGTTCCAGCTCAAAAGCCTCTGGGCTCTGCATCTGAAGCGCACGGTGTCTTCAGTAACAGTGATTTCCCTTCCGCCTCTAGCAGCAGCCTGAAATATTTTGGGAGCCTCTCCAACAACCCTAACTAACAACTCAAAAGAGTTTCTCATGCCTGGGGTTGGGGTTTTTATTAGATGGTATTTGGCTCTTAGAAGGAACATTGACAGCCCAGATGGAAAATTTGGGTTTGAGCTTTATATGGATATCTCTATGTCAACTTATGTGCATTATAGGTATTTTTTAGGTAGTTAATAGTATGAATCCTTATGACATTTTTCAGATATCCTCACTGTTATCTTACCTTTCTCCCTCCTTCTTGCTTTGGTTTCCAATGCCTGTGATAACATTCTTGATTTCTGGAGTCCCTCTGCAGCAGGGTTAAATCAGTCTCTGTGTAGAGATGTACAGATCACAGAGCTTTGACACATTTTTAACATATTGAATTATTTCATCAAGAGTTTCCTGGGGCTAACGCGATGGTTAAGCAGTTAAGAGCCTTTCATAAAAGCTTGTTCTGCTCATGTAGGAGATCCAAGTTCATTTCCTAGGACTACATGGTGGCCCACAACCATCTGTAACTCCAGCTCCAGAGGATTTGATGAAATTTTCTGACCTCTGCGGGGCTCCTGCACTCATGTGGTACACATAAACCCATGCTTGCAAAATACTCATATACATTTAAAAATTAATCTTTTTAAAAAAAATTAAGTAGAAAATTTTATGTTTCCAGTTTAAGTATTGTCAGGTTACTGGGTTCCGTGTTGATGCCTTGTATTTCTGGGTCTCTGGGAATATAGTTTATATTTACTTCGTCATTTTTAGACATTACAAAAAGCTCCAAAGAGCAATTACATGTGATCTCATTGACTCCTCCCAGGAAAGCTAAAAAGGATTTTTCAAGGATGAGAAGAACAGGGGCCCAGGTCAGCAGATGGCACACAGTCTTAGTAAGTGTTACATCCATAAATCACTAGACTTCAGAAAAAAAAAAAAAAATCAAGTGGGCACTTTGATGAGTACATACAGGCAAAGTCTCAGAGGAGAGTGGGGACACAGCCATGAACACAAGGGTTTTACTATAGCAAAAGAGCAGTGCCCTCAAATTTGCTTTCATCAGGACCTTCATGAGTAGCCAGACAGCATTACCGGTGATGCAGGCCAGGTGTGAACAGCCATGTGAGGCCACCACTGTGTAAGGAGAGCCCAGGAGTTCTGAGCATCAGCAGGGACTATGAGGGATGCCGTGCCTTTATTTCTAGCAGCTTCTCTGTAAGGCACTCAGGGAAGAGGTGCTCAAAGGTGGAGGCTGTGAGTTCTGGCTCCCAACACACCAATTGCAGGCTATGTCCTCCACCATAGCCTTGCTCTCCCCAGATAGCAGACCTGGTTTCAGCTCCTGTCTTTCAGGCTCCATTTGTCTCTACCAGCTCCGCCACTCTCTCTTTTACAGATAAGTCTTGATTTTACAAAACAGTGCTGGGTGGAAACACTTCAGTGAAGCACGATGTCATTTAGCTCACCCATCTAGAGGAGAATTTGGCATGGCGAGGAACACTAGCTGGATGTTTTCAACAATTAATGTTATGAAACTGACAATATCCACACACAGTTTTCCTCAACTTGTTCTTTTCCCCTTAAAATAATTTTTCTCAGAAGAGAGACTTACATCTCAACCATAAGAAACTGCTACACAAGCTATTTCAAGCCAAAATTCTGAACCTGGAGAAACTTCTTTCTGTTACAGAGGAAGACAGCGCATGTTGAACTTGCATTTTGGGGCTTTCCAACCAACATAGGCAAACCCTCTCCTGACATAACCTGAAAGGAAACTCAAAGGCTGTGAATCCACAGCTACTTTCATTCAGCTGCCCACACATCAAACACCATCCTGAGTATTAAAGTTTTCTGTGTTCTAACGGTACCCAGGCCCTGTGTGGAGTCTGTTTGTGTGTGCTCTAGGGATTAGGCCAAGGCCCTTGCACATGCAAAGTAAACACGTGTGTATCTCGAGATCCTTGTGGGGGGCTTCTGTGTCTATTTACTCAGATACACCATGTGGAAGGCGATATTATCACATCCCATATGCCGAAGGCACAGAAATAAGGGCACATTGTACCACACTTAAAGGCATTGGGGCTTGGGGTTGAGCCAAAACATAGCTTAAATGAAGCATCTCACATTTAGGAAATGAAACACACTGGTTACCAGCTGGGACTTTCCCTTTTCTACCAGCCACACTGGAATGACATCTATCCAAGGAATCCAATTCCCCCAAAAGTATACTATGATGATAAGGGAAGTGAGGGAAATCTTTATAAATATTTAAAACAAACAAACAAACAAACAACAACAATAAAAAAAAACCCATGGCCCTTAAAAGGATAAAAGTGTGGGTTGCAGAGATAGACCAATTCACATTTACGAATGGAAACTGAGGATTTGAAAGTGTAAAAT